CGTGTATGAGTACTCGAGTGCATGTACGCATACACCTAGTTGGGTGCGTCCATATACTCTGGGGATTCATACACAAAACCATCCCATTCCACAGCATGCATACAACATGCACATGACCGACAGGACTCACAACAAGATACGACTGACAGCAAATAGGGAAAACAAGTGACTCGATAATGACAGGACTAGAACGCATAACCACCAATACCACCCCGTCACTGGGATGATAGCAAAGGTTGGTAACGTGATATACATAGTCCCGGCAAAAGGCCACGCTAGAATCCAGCAAGACGGCAACGACGAGAAATGACTGAATGGCCTCCCGCCCCCTTTCCCCTCACCTTTCCTTAACTCTTTCGGATGCACTATGAGTTTAACCCCCCAACCCATTACCACAGAGAGCACTTGAGTTCGTTACCCAACATGCCACAGCAATTCTCATCGCCGAACATTTGGATCTCAAAGCGTGAGCTGGATGCTCCGGTTATATGGTATTTACGTACATCGAAGCTTAGCTGTCAACACAACCCGATCACATAATAACAAAAGACGACTGGACCCGCTTAAGGCTCCACACAACCTTTCACACACATATCCATTACATGACTAACCCGTTCATATTACAGGAAGACATATATAAACCACTATGGTTACACGCGGAAAATTTTCACATTTCGGAACTATTCAAATTCAAAAACTTTTTTAAGTACTTTTTGGCAAAATTAAAATACTCAAAATTTTAAAACAATAAATGGTGGTCCAAAGGACATTGGGCATGGAAGCTCGCTCTCCTTCGAGATACGCCTAGCCAGATCAAAGGGAGACAGAACAAACAGGAAACACCAAGAAAGAAGAAGGAAGACATGCACCAGTGAGAACAGGACGAGCGGTTTGATTCGGATGGAAGCATCAAGCCCAGAAATGGCACAAACACTAGTATTCAGTCACGAAAGTGACGCAAATAACCCAGACCACAAATATAGGCGGAGACTGTTAGCAGCCTAGGCTAGCTAGCAGCAGTCTGAACGTGGTCGAGCTTTCCTTTTTTTTTTTCCCCAAAAGGACTTGGACTTGGACTTGCTATTCTGTCACACATTTATGCAGTTTTTGTGTTAGAAAAAAAATAAAAAACTGTTCAGACACAACAAATGTTTTTGATGGTAACATGTTGCGATAGATGCCAAGTATCGGGACCGCATTCACTAACTGTGAAGCGAACACTTGCCAGCGTGAGCTATCAACAAGTTATCTTTAGCATCAATTAGCAGGCAGATTCATCTCATTATCGCCAAGGGGAATGTGGAAACACTTTTAGAGTTACACAACCCTCACAACAGCCAGGGCCGACAATCTCTAAAATAAATGCACAAAAATGACATGACTGCATCGGCTGATTTCCCCCATACTGTTAAATCGTTTGATGTCTAAAATAATAAAATTTGAATTAAAAAGTATCAAAGGCACTTAACAATCCCGGAATACCACAATAGACCAGGTGGTCGTGATTAGCTGCCATAAAACGTTATTGTCAATTCTACTTTGCCGTATTCTCATCTGCTTTTTTCCGAGTGCTCCGTTAGAACGTAGGTAAAGCCACTGTCTTTCTGACCACATTTTCAAAGTGTTATTTGTCGGCAGAAGTGTGTTGTGTGTCATCGGCTGGCTGTGATGTTGTCTCTATGTTACCTGTGGGCACACGTTTAGCAGCAGTGTTGTCTCTGGGTCATATGTTGGCACAAGTGTCATGTCTATGGACAGAGGAGTTGTCTCTATGTTACCTGTGGGCACACGTTTAGCAGCAGTGTTGTCTCTGGATCATATATTGGCACACGAGTCTTGTCTATTGACAGTGGAGTTGTCTCTATGTCACCTGTAGACACAAGTTTAGCAGCAGTGTTGTCTCTGGATCATATATTGGCACACGAGTCTTGTCTATTGACAGTGGAGTTGTCTCTATGTCACCTGTAGACACAAGTTTAGCAGCAATGTTGTCTCTGGGTCAAATGTTGGCACAAGTGTCATGTCTATGGACAGTGGAGTTGTCTCTATGTCACCTGTAGACACAAGTTTAGCAGCAGTGTTGTCTCTGGGTCATTTGTTGGCACACGAGTCTTGTCTATTGACAGTAGAATTGTCTCAGTGTCATCTGTAGGCACAAGTGTCTTGTCTATTGGCAGTAGAATTGTCTCCGTGTCATCTGTAGGCACAAGTGTCTTGTCTATTGGCAGTAGAATTGTCTCCGTGTCATCTGTAGGCACAAGTGTCTTGTCTATTGGCAGTAGAATTGTCTCCGTGTCATCTGTAGGCACAAGTGTCTTGTCTATTGGCAGTAGAATTGTCTCTGTGTCATCTGTAGGCACAAGTGTCCTGTTTTCGGCAGTGGAGATGGCTCTGTGTCATCTGTTGGCAAAAGTGGTTTCTATATCAGCATAAGTATTGTCTTTGTGTCGCCTGTAGAGTGATGCAGTCTGTGTCCGCGGCTGGGCATTCTTTAAGTCATCCGCCACCACTGGAGTGATGCAGTCTGTGTACGTAGCTGCGCATTCTTAACGTCATCCGCCACCACTAGAATGATGCAGTCTCTGTCCACGGCTGCGCATTCTTTACCTCAGCTGCCATCATAAGACTAATGCAGTCTCTGTCCACGGCAGCGCATTCTTTACCTCAGCTGCCATCATAAGACTAATGCAGTCTTTGTCCACGGCTGCGCATTCTTTACGTCAGCTGCCATCATAAGTCTAATGCAGTCTTTGTCCACGGCTGCGCATTCTTTACGTCAGCTGCCATCATAAGACTGATGCAGTCTTTGTCCACGGCTGCGCATTTTTTACGTAAGCTGCCCCACTAGACTGATGCAGTCTCTGTCCACGGCTGCGCATTCTTTATTAGCTGTCACCACTGGAGTGATGCAGTCTCTGTCCACGGCTGCGCATTCTTTACGTCAGCTGTCACCACTGGAGTGATGCAGTCTCTGTCCACGGCTGCGCATTCTTTTCGTTGTCTGCCACCGCTAGAGTATTCCTTGTGCCACGTGTTTTAGCTTAGCATTTTTTACTATTTTATATTTTAGTAGAAAATAATTCTCTACGTATTCTGGGAGGTATGAATAATTTGTCTTGCTAGGCCATGTAACACTCCGTATTGTCTCTTTTTCTGGAAGAGCCTTTAAGGGAGGGGGGTAATTGTGTGAGACAATAAATCATGGAATTACAGGGGCAAATCATGAAAGGATTGCGGTAATCAATAGCTGGGTTGTATTGTCAATTATGTAATCCACTATATTTCACAAATCCGTGGTAACACAGTAATTACCCACACAAAGGCTTATTAAGTTCACAATGACAAGATGGTTGTCCACCCTAAAAGTAGCGGGGAAACCTGTCTTGAGTGTAAACTGGACATTTGACCTGTCATAGTCGTGAGTGTAAACTGGACATGTGACCTGTCCTAGTCTTGAGTGTAAACTGGACATTTAACATGTCCTAGTCGTGAGTGTAAACTGGACATTTGACCTGTCATAGTCGTGAGGGTAAACTGGACATTTGACCTGTCATAGTCGTGAGTGTAAACTGGACATGTGACCTGTCATAGTCGTGGGTGTGTACTGGACATATGACCTGTCATAGTCGTGAGTGTAAACTGGACATGTGACCTGTCCTAGTCCTGAGTGTAAACTGGACATTTGACCTGTCCTAGTGGTGAGTGTATATTGGACATGTTACCTGTCCTAGTGGTGAGTGTATACTTGACATGTGACCTGTCCTAGTATTGAGTGTATACTGGACATGTGACCTGTCCTAGTCCTGAGTGTATATTGGACATGTGACCTGTCCTAGTCGTGAGTGTAAACTGGACATGTGACCTCTCCTAGTGGTGAGTGTATATTGGACATGTGACCTGTCCTAGTGGTGAGTGTATACTTGACATGTGACCTGTCCTAGTGGTGAGTGTATATTGGACATGTGACCTGTCTTAGTCGTGAGTGTATATTGGACATGTGACCTGTCCTAGTATTGAGTGTATACTGGACATGTGACCTGTCCTAGTGGTGAGTGTATACTTGACATGTGACCTGTCCTAGTGGTGAGTGTATACTTGACATGTGACCTGTCCTAGTCGTGAGTGTATACTTGACATGTGACCTGTCCTAGTGGTGAGTGTATATTGGACATGTGACCTGTCCTAGTGGTGAGTGTATACTTGACATGTGACCTGTCCTAGTGGTGAGTGTATACTTGACATGTGACCTGTCCTAGTGGTGAGTGTATACTTGACATGTGACCTGTCCTAGTCGTGAGTGTATACTGGACATGTGACCTGTCCTAGTGTGAGTGTAAACTGGACATGTGACCTGTCCTAGTGGTGAGTGTATATTGGACATGTGACCTGTTCTAGTCGTGAGTGTAAACTGGACATGTGACCTGTTTTAGTCGTGAGTGTATATTGGACATGTGACCTGTCCTAGTCGTGAGTGTATATTGGACATGTGACCTGTCCTAGTGTTGAGTGTGTACTGGACATGTGACCTGTCCTAGTCGTCAGTGTATATTGGACATGTGACCTGTCATAGTCGTGAGTGTATATTGGACATGTGACCTGTCCTAGTCCTGAGTGTATATTGGATATGTGTGCATGCCAGTTGTGTGATGTTGGTGCCCTATTATCAACGAGCAACAGAAATACGATATGCTCTGTATTATACAGGCTGCTCTGACCCACAGAGGATCATCTAGTACCCTGGTGAAGAAGCTGGGGTCGACGACTGGAGCTGTCTAACCTTGAGGCGTGTGTCCTCCAGAGACAAGGAGGCAGCGTAAAGACACTGTGAGCCACCACCCAGGGAACACTCACTCCATCCCAAGTGTGCTCAAACTTGTAGTTATATGGTGCCATAAACATAAAACGGTTTGCTGATCCCATACACATGTATTTCCTATTGCAGACATGAATTTAAAACGGCTTGCTGATCACAGACACATGTATTTCCTATTGCAGACACAATGAGGGTCTTTTGTCTTTTACTGCTGACACTCAGCGCAGTCGTCGAAACGGACGCGTTCATTTTTGGTGAGTAGTCATTGATTCGACTTTGCCATTTTTGTTGACTAGTCATTGATTCGTCTTTGCCATGTTTTCTGAGTAGTCACTGATTCGACTTTGCCGTGTTTGGTGAGTAGACATTGATTTGATTTTGTCATTTTTTGTGAGTAGACATTGATTCGACTTTGCCATGTTTGGTGAGTAGACATTGATTCGACTTTGCCATTTGTGATGAGTAGACATTGATTCGACTTTGCTATTTTTGGTGAGTAGACATTGATTCGACTTTGCCATTTTTGGTGAGTAGACATTGATTCGACTTTTTCATGTTTGGTTAGCAGTCATTTATTCGACTTTATCATGTTTGGTGAGTAGACATTGATTCGATTTTGCCATGTTTGGTGAGTAAACATTGATTCGACTTTGCCATGTTTTGTGAGTAGACATTGATTTGACTTTGCCATTTTTGGTGAGTAGACATTGATTTGACTTTGCCATTTTTGGTGAGTAGACATTGATTCGACTTTGCCATGTTGGTGAGTAGACATTGATTTGATTTTGTAATTTTTGGTGAGTAGACTGACTCGACTTTGTCATGTTTGGTGAGTAGACATTGATTCGATTTTGCCATTTTTGGTGAGTAGACATTGATTCGACTTTGCCATGATTGATGAGTAGACATTGATTCGAGTTTGCCATTTTTGGTTCGTTTTTGTGGCTCATGCTTTCACGGGATGAGGTAGCCAACCCCAAAGTGAATCCTGCCTTAGGTTGCCTTTTACGACATGCCTGGTAGAGTGCAATACTACCGGCCTCCTGATATGTTTTCTGACTGAAGGATCAAAGAAGAAGAAAAAGAAGACGTTCAATAATTATATTGTCTTTTGTGTACCTGCTTTTGAAAATTGTATTGTCTAGTGTGTCCCTACTTTCAATAATTATATAGTCTAGTGTGTCCCTGCGTTCCATAATTGTATTGTCTAGTGTGTCCCTGCTTTCGATAATTGTATTGTCTAGTATGTCCCTGCTTTTGATAATTATATAGTCTAGTGTGTCCCTGCTTTCCATAATTGTATTGTCTAGTGTGTCCCTGCTTTCCATAATTGTATTGTCTAGTGTGTCCCTGCTTTACATAATTGTATTGTATAGTGTGTCCGTGCTTTCGATAATTGTAGTGTCTAGTGTATCCGTGCTTTCGATAATTGTATTGTCTAGTATGTCCCTGCTTTTGATAATTATATAGTCTAGTGTATCCGTGCTTTCGATAATTGTATTGTCTAGTATGTCTCTGCTTTTGATAATTGTATAGTCTAATGTGTCCCTGCTTTCCATAATTGCATAGTCTTGTGTGTCCCTGCTTTCCATAATTGTATAGTCTTGTGTGTCCCTGCTTTCCATAATTGTATTGTCTAGTGTGTCCCTGCTTTCCATAATTGTATGTCTAGCGTGTCCCTGTTTTCAATAATTGTATTGTCTAGTATGTCCCTGCTTTCCATAATTGTATTGTCTTGTGTGTCCCTGCTTTCGATAATTATATAGTCTAGTGTGTCCCTGCTTTCGATAATTATACAGTCTAGTGTGTCCCTGCTTTCGATATTAAAGTTGTCTAGTGTGTATGGTCTTTCGATATTATGTCGTTAAGTGTTTCCACGTTTTTAATATTTATGTTGCACAGTGTGTCTCGGGTTTCTATATTCATACTGTTAAGTGTTTCCAAGTTTTCAATAGTTATGTCATCTAATGTGTCTAAACTTTCCATATAGATTTTGTCTAGTGCATCCCAGCTGTGGATATTTATGTTTTCTTATATGTCTCAGCTGTGAATATTTATGTTTTCTAGTATGTCCCAGCTGTGAATATTTATGTTTTCTAGTATGTCCCAGCTGTGAATATTTATGTTTTCTAGTATGTACCAGCTGTGAATATTTATGTTTTCTAGTATGTCCCAGCTGTGGATATTTATGTTTTCTAGCATGTCCCAGCTGTGGATATTTATGTTTTCTAGTATGTCCCAGCTGTGGATATTTATGTTTTCTAGTATGTCCCAGCTGTGGATATTTATGTTTTCTAGTATGTCCCAGCTGTGGACATTTATGTTTTCTAGTATGTCCCAGCTGTGAATATTTATGTTTTCTAGTATGTCCCAGCTGTGGATATTTATGTTTTCTAGTATGTCCCAGCTGTGGATATTTATGTTTTCTAGTATGTCTCAGCTGTGGATATTTATGTTTTCTAGTATGCCCCAGCTGTGGATATTTATGTTTTCTAGTATGTCCCAGATTTGGATATTTATGTTTTCTAGTATGTCCCAGCTGTGGATATTTATGTTTTCTAGTATGTCCCAGCTGTCTAAATGCAGACTTCAATATCTTCCTTTCGTGTCTATTTCAGGTATCATTGAGAGCATCTGGAACACGGCCACCAAAATCTTTGGGACTGTCTTTGACTGGACACTGACCTCCTTCAACAAGTTTGTGGACACCGGCTTCGAGGTCGGTGGGACGGCTTTAGGGGTCGTCGTGGATCCCTTTGGGTGGTTTGAACGTAAGTACTTTTGGGATCGTCGAAGAAATACTGTGGGTTAGGGTTGAGATCTGTCAAACCATCACTGTGCGTTAGGGGTGGGATCTGTCAAACCATTACTGTGCGTTAGGGTTTGGATCGGTCAAACAAACACTGTGAGTTTGGGTTGGAATCGGTCAAAGAAACAATGCGGGTTAGGGTTGGGATCTGTCAAATCATCTCTGTGCGTTAGGATTAGGGTTCGGATCGGTCAAACCATCACTGTGCGTTAGGGTTCGGATCGGTCAAAGAAACACTGTGCGTTAGGGTTGGGATCGGTCAAAGAAACACTGTGCGTTAGGGTTGGGATCGGTCAAAGAAACACTGTGGGTTAGGGTTGGAATTGGTTAAATAAACACTCGGTCAAATCATCACTGTGGGTTAGGGTTGGGATCGGTCAAACACTGTAAGTCAGGGACCGATATTGGTCACAATAATAATCCATATCTATCTGGTCTATGGAACTTCGTGGTGCTGAAATGGGGAGATTTAGAGATGTAGAAAAGCTGCAACATTTTCATTTTGGTCATTTCCTGCAGGATGCCAAATGCCAGTAGAAGTTCCTGTGACCTAGTTTGTTATTGCACATGTCACTACAGACACAAATTTGAGAGCGCCAAACTAAGCAGATAGGTCAGGGGACTACCACTGAGAACGGGTCTTGACACAAATTAATAGACACGACGAGTAGAAATGGTTTTTTGTAGGGGCTCCCACACAAATAAGACATGGTGTGTGTGTGGGGGGGGGGGGGGGTCAGGGAGTGCACAGTTCCCCTACCTCTACTCACCCCACCCCCGCCTTATACATTTGTTGTCAAAGAGTGGGTGTCGCAGTGGATTTATTTCTAGTTTATAAAAAACATAATGGTAATGCTTTAATGTAACTATTCATTACGTTTAATGGAAATCTGTAGGAGTTTTGGATGTAACCTTTTGCTTTTTGTGTGTGCTCTCTTCTCACAGCGTCTATCGATGACCATGGCCATAATACAGGCAAAGGTGAGTTGTGTTCGATTTGTTCTGTTTATTTTTTTCTTCTTCTTGTCCACGGGCTGAAATCTACGACGGAAAAGTCTGGTTGTTCGTCCAGTTATGAAATGTTGGTCTTCTTCCAGAGCTTGAGTGTCGCATGCACACTCATTTTACAGATTTGGCTTATTTGTGAGCTGACTGTTGGTTCCTTACCTCTCAGACAGATGCTCTCCGACTTTGAAGGGATCCCATAATTAGTCAACTCTTACGACATGCGTGTTAGGGAGGCAATGGCTGCGTTCTTACCCCCCCCCCCCCCTTTTTTTTTTTCCCCTTCCACATTAGGGCACTGAAAGCCACACGGGGTGTTTGATTTGTTCAGAATAAGGTGGGTTTGGTTTTATTTGTTCAAGCTGAGGTATTTTCGCTTTGATTGAATGAAGCAGAGGAGAATTTAGTTTGATTTGATCAAGTCTTATGTAGGACTGTGTCCTTATGGTTTCAAGGTTAGTGACACTGTTTCACAATGCTATTCTAGATGCAAACCAAGATTCGACGCACTGTGCTCTGTTTAGAAAAAGACAGATCTTATAAGGTAGTTGTACTCACTAGGACGTCAAACAAGCGATAAATACACGGTGACACAAAGGGCCATCACGCGGATGTATAACCATTTGATACATTTCTACTAACCTCCATTGTCGAGGGGGCAACATACAACAGAGACACACTTGTAAAAATAAATTGATCCGCTTGTTCCCATTCTTTTGTTCCCATTCTCTTGTTCCCATTCTCTTGTTCCTATACTCTTGTTCCCATTCTCTTGTTCCTATTCTCTTGTTCCCATTCTCTTGTTCCCATTCTCTTGTTCCTATTCGCTTGTTTCCACTCTCTTGTTCCCATTCTCTTGTTCCTATTCTCTTGTTTCCATTCTTTTGTTCCCCTTTTCATGTTCCCATTCTCTTGTTCCCATTCTCTTGTTCCTATTCTCGTGTTCCCATTCTCTTGTTCCTATTCTCTTGTTCCCATTCTCTTGTTCCTATTCTCTTGTTCCCATTCTTTTGTTCCTATTATCTTGCTCCTATTCTCTTGTTTCTATTCTCTTGTTCCCATTCTCTTGTTCCCATTCTCTTGTTCCCATTCTCTTGTTCTCCTTTTCTTGTTCTCATTCTCATATTCTCACTCTCTTGTCGTCATTCTCGGATCCCTATTCGATATTCTCCTATGACTTTCATTTTGACCTCTATCGTTTGTTATAGTCTCATGATGTTTTAGGCGATCTTGTGGCGATGATTGACGCCCATTATGGTCATCAGTGTCCACTTCTGCCGTTGAGCTGCGTGGGGAGACACAGTTTACGATCCATTGTTTGGTGGGCAGAAATGGCGATTGTCATTCTGGTAATGTCATCAATGCCCGGCTCGGTAGCGAAGTTGGTTTAATCTGGCTACGCGGCGACCGGGTGAGGAACTCCTTGTGGTCCGGGTTCACGCACGGGGTAGGCAGAAAAGCTACATTTCTCCCAGATTTACGGTATGTGTCATGAAATCAAGACAGACGGGTTGCAATATCCATAGTACTGAGCCAAAGTATTAACAACTCATGGCTTCTGGATACTTTAAAAAAATTGTTAATATTCCATGTTCTCCTTGGGCGACATTTTGCTTTCACATTAGGTAGCTTCAGGCACACCGCCTGTGTGGGTAGTGGTTATGGCTGCATTATTTCTAGATGACCAAACCATTTCATCTTCTGTTTCTCAAAGAAAATGCGACATGATGTTGTTGCCACAGTTTCTCTGATAATATGATTTCTAACTTCGTCTTGGGTGGGTCAGATTGTTAGGGTATTATTTGGGCGAGATGTTTAGGGTAATATTTGGTTCAGATGTTTAGGGTAATATTTGGTCCAGTTGTTAAGGGTAATATTTTGTTACGATGTTTAAGCTAACATTAGATTCAGGTGGTTAAGCTAATGTTTGGTTCAGATGTTTAAGCTAATATTTTGTTCAGATGTTTAAGCTACTATTAGATTCAGATGGTTAAGATATATTTGATTCAGATGGTGAAGCTAACATTTGGTTCAGATGGTGAAGCTAACATTTGGTTCATATGGTGAAGCTAATATTAGGTTCAGATGGTAAAGCAAATACTTGGTTCAGATGGTGAAGCTAACATTTGGTTCAGATGGTGAAGCTAACATTTGGTTCAGATGGTGAAGCTAATATTAGGTTCAGATGGTGAAGCTAATATTTGGTTCAGATGGTGAAGCTAATACTTGGTTCAGATGGTGAAGCAAATACTTGGTTCAGATGGTGAAGCTAACACTTGGTTCAGATGGTGAAGCTAATATTTGGTTCAGATGGTGAAGCTAATACTTGGTTCGGATGGTGAAGCTAATATTAGGTTCAGATGGTGAAGCTAATACTTGGTTCAGATGGTGAAGCTAATACTTGGTTCAGATGGTGAAGCTAATACTTGGTTCAGATGGTGAAGCTAATATTTGGTTCAGATGGTGAAGCAAATACTTGGTTCAGATGGTGAAGCTAATATTAGGTTCAGATGGTGAAGCTAATACTTGGTTCAGATGGTGAAGCTAATACTTGGTTCAGATGGTGAAGCTAATATTAGGTTCAGGTGGTGAAGCTAATACTTGGTTCAGATGGTGAAGCAAATACTTGGTTCAGATGGTGAAGCTGATATTTGGTTCAGATGGTGAAGCTAATATTAGGTTCAGATGGTGAAGCTAATACTTGGTTCAGATGGTGAAGCTAATACTTGGTTCAGATGGTGAAGCTAATATTTGGTTCAGATGGTGAAGCTAATATTTGGTTCAGATGGTGAAGCTAATATTTGGTTCAGATGGTGAAGCTGATATTTGGTTCAGATGGTGAAGCTGATACTTGGTTCAGGTGGTGAAGCAAATACTTGGTTCAGATGGTGAAGCTAATATTTGGTTCAGATGGTGAAGCTAATACTTGGTTCAGATGGTGAAGCTAATACTTGGTTCAGATGGTGAAGCTAATACTTGGTTCAGATGGTGAAGCTAATATTAGGTTCAGATGGTGAAGCTAATACTTGGTTCAGATGGTGAAGCTAATATTTGGTTCAGATGGTGAAGCTAATACTTGGTTCAGATGGTGAGGCTGATACTTGGTTCAGATGGTAAAGCAAATACTTGGTTCAGATGGTGAAGCTAATATTTGGTTCAGATGGTGAAGCTAATATTTGGTTCAGATGGTGAAGCTGATACTTGGTTCAGATGGTGAAGCAAATACTTGGTTCAGATGGTGAAGCTAATATTTGGTTCAGATCGTGAAGCTAATACTTGGTTCAGATGGTGAAGCTAATACTTGGTTCAGATGGTGAAGCTAATACTTGGTTCAGATGGTGAAGCTAATATTAGGTTCAGATGGTGAAGCTAATACTTGGTTCAGATGGTGAAGCTAATATTTGGTTCAGATGGTGAAGCTAATACTTGGTTCAGATGGTGAAGCTGATACTTGGTTCAGATGGTGAAGCAAATACTTGGTTCAGATGGTGAAGCTAATATTTGGTTCAGATGGTGAAGCTAATATTTGGTTCAGATGGTGAAGCTGATACTTGGTTCAGATGGTGAAGCAAATACTTGGTTCAGATGGTGAAGCTAATATTTGGTTCAGATGGTGAAGCTAATACTTGGTTCAGATGGTGAAGCTAATACTTGGTTCAGATGGTGAAGCTAATACTTGGTTCAGATGGTGAAGCTAATATTAGGTTCAGATGGTGAAGCTAATACTTGGTTCAGATGGTGAAGCTAATATTTGGTTCAGATGGTGAAGCTAATACTTGGTTCAGATGGTGAAGCTAATACTTGGTTCAGATGGTGAAGCAAATACTTGGTTCAGATGGTGAAGCTGAAATTTGTTTCAGATGGTGAAGCTAATATTAGGTTCAGATGGTGAAGCTAATACTTGGTTCAGATGGTGAAGCTAATACTTGGTTCAGATGGTGAAGCTAATACTTGGTTCAGATGGTGAAGCAAATACTTGGTTCAGATGGTGAAGCAAATACTTGGTTCAGATGGTGAAGCTAATATTTGGTTCAGATGGTGAAGCTAATACTTGGTTCAGATGGTGAAGCAAATACTTGGTTCAGATGGTGAAGCAAATACTTGGTTCAGATGGTGAAGCAAATACTTGGTTCAGATGGTGAAGCAAATACTTGGTTCAGATGGTGAAGCAAATACTTGGTTCAGATGGTGAAGCAAATACTTGGTTCAGATGGTGAAGCAAATACTTGGTTCAGATGGTGAAGCTAATACTTGGTTCAGATGGTGAAGCTAATACTTGGTTCAGATGGTGAAGCTAATACTTGGTTCAGATGGTGAAGCAAATACTTGGTTCAGATGGTGAAGCTAATACTTGGTTCAGATTGTGAAGCTAATACTTGGTTCAGATGTTTAAGCTAATACTTGGTTCGGATGTTTAAGCTAATACTTGGTTCAGACGGTGAAGCTAATATTGGTCCCATCCTGACGTTGACAGTGGCCAAATGCCCGGCCAGGGCCGACATCCTCTTCGTCATTGACACCTCTGGCAGCATGAGTAAACAAGAGTTCAACCTGGCCAAGAACTTCGCCTCCAGATTGTCGGAACATTTCCAGATGAGCGACAAAGATGTCCTCTTTGCTGCAATCACCTTCAGCGACCGGGTTCAGAGGGTGTTTGACTTCAAGACTTATACAAACCACGATGGACTCAGTTTGGTAAGAAATGTCTTACAGCCAGTGTTTCTTAATCTACCGGCTGTTTTATGTTTCTGTTTTTTAAACTTTACACAACTAATTACTGATCAATTCGTGTGTTTATGAATTCATCGTATATTCATATCCTTGTAACAACTCGGTAAACTACTTCAAGTGACAAACCAAGAAACTCTAGACAGCATAATAACAAATAGAAGATGGAAATGGCTTGGCCAAGTCCTGACGATTAATCCTGATATACCTGCCAAAACAGCTCTTACTTGGACACCACAGAGAAAAAGAAGGGATTTCCAAAAACAACATGGAGACAACGATGGAAAGTGAACTGAGTGCTTCAACTCTGACATTGAAAACTGCATTGAAGATTACACACGACAGGAAGGCATGAAAGGTTCGCTCTGAAGCCTCATGTGCCACGAAGCATAAAGAGAGTTGATTAATGTACAAAATCAGAGCAGATTCGTGGCAAACATTACAACAGTGGTAGATTTTTTGACCAACATACGCATGTAAAGTGACTTCATAACTGATAACAGATGCCATGAGTTCTGATGTAGATGCAGGCTACAAATTTGAAAAGCTACAGTTTACTGTCTCATAATCTACAGGGGCCTCACAAAATGTTCTGTGGTCACAAATGCAATCTTCCTTTAATATATTCTAAATAATAAAAGTGTTTTAATTTGTCACTGAAGAAATGATATAATACACTGTCCGTGATTTTAAAAACACGCTCTTGATAATTTATTTGAATAATTCTTAGACTAGAATATATTTCAATTACCCGCATCCTTAAAAGTCGTTTATATTTTAAAGTTTTCTGATATTCGCTTGTCTAATTTAAAACGATAGGGGTCTCAGATCTTATTTAGTTAGGGCCTTGTAAGATTTAAATCCGACTGTGGATGTAGATAACAACAGACTTGAATCAGTCACTGACATCTGATGGTGTCACAGAGAACAACTGACGATGACACTGCCAGAGATTTTCTGTTGACACTATTATCAGACAGATGAAAACACTCTGACCATATGTCGAAGGTTTTAGTAGGTGACAGTTGCACGCATACAAACACTGTCTGCTTCACTAGGGTTTGGCCTTGTTCCCGTTCCTCGGAGGCGGCACCAAAACATACCTGGCCCTAGACTACGTCATCCAGCAGAACCTTTTCAGCACATCCAACGGAGGGCGAGAGCAGGCTAGCAAGGTGGTGGTCGTCTTGACAGACGGATCGTCCGACAGTTTGTTGAAAAGTAAGATGATGTCATGACCTGGTTATTTAAAACTTGTTATCGTAGACTCAAATCGTTACAAGCTGTCCACAGCTAGGCAAGGGTTTGTGGTTGAAACCTGTGTGAGCTACTCACTGTCTGTTCCCTTGTCGTTCACACAATGCAGCACATGTCGTTATGTCATGTCAGCCTAAAGGGGGCGGGGGGCGCTGTGCACCCGGTATCTTGTTCCAGGGCCCATGGAGCTTAAAGGGGGCCCATGAAGTTTAAACGGGGCCCATCGAGCTTAGAGGACGTCTATAGAGCTTGAAAGGGGGTCTATGGAGCTTGAAGGGGGCCCATGGAGCTTAAAGGGGGCCCATGGAGCTTAAAGGGGGTCCATAGAGCTTGAAAGGGGGCCCATGGATGTTAGAGGAGGTCCATAGAGCTTGAAAGGGGGCCCATGGATGTTAGAGGAGGTCCATAGAGCTTGAAAGGGGGCCCATGGAGCCTAAAGGGGGCCCATGGAGCTTTAAGGGGGTCCATAGAGCTTGAAAGGGGGCCCATGGATGTTAGAGGAGGTCCATAGAGCTTGAAAGGGGGCCCATGGAGCTTAAAGGGGCCCATGGAGTTTAGAGGAGGTTCATGCAGCTCAAATGAGACCCGCAGATCTCAAAAGGCCCATGAAGCTCAAAGAGGTGGACCATTTTTTCTCAGCAAAAGAAAAACGATACTGAACTTAAAACTGTGTGTATAACTCAACCGCCTTGCAGCCTTGCAGGACATCCTTCCTGTAAAGGAGGAGATACACTCTCAAGGAGTCTGACTTATACATTGAAGATATTGTCGATTATCGCCCATTTGTTTCCAATCTAGATTAATTGTTAGCCACACGATGTTTACATGTACTGTTTGTAGCTTAACTTTAACTTGCATGCATATTTTACAGCAACCGACAATCCCAAGCAGCACAAGAAAACATTATACAAAACATATTCATTCTCACTCCATGCCACCAGTGCCTGGCATGGTCACTCACAATAAAACAAAAGACAATTAGTAAATATGGTAATGAGGTGTCTGAGAACAGATGCAGGAGTGACCATAAAGAAAAAAACCGGAAATGAGGATATAAGAGAAAACGTAGACAAAGAACCAATTCTAAATTACAATTAAAGAGATCAAATGGTTTTCCCACTTAGAGAGAACTCTTGGTGGTGTCATACCGTACAACATATACTGTAAAAGTTGAGAATACCTTAAATCACAAGGTAAAACAAGAACAAGATAGGAAAAAACATCAGAGAAACTACAACAGCAAGATGTGTGAGAAGTTCAAGATTCAGAACTTGGTATCTCATTCGACACTTGAAGCGATGAAAGAAGAAGTGAAAAAGAAGAATGAAAAAGATGGAGAAGGCTTCCCTCGAGTTTCAGATTCCTACCTTGTATGTGTGTTTAGACTTCGATCCTTGTGTTCCCGGCAAAATATTGTCGAACATCTCTGGTTGCTATCCTCTGTCACTCTTTGCGTCAACCTTTCCAGTTACCCCAATAAAGTTTTTATTGCCTCTTCCATTAAGTAGGTCATAAACCACTTTCTGTGGTGTGTGTGGCCAGTTGTCTCTTCCCTTAAGTAGGCGATAAACCTCTTTCTGTGGTGTGTGTGGCCAGTTGTCTCTTCCCTTAAGTAGGTTCTAAAGTTCTTTCTGTGGTATGTGTGGCCAGTTGTCTCTTCCCTTAAGTAGGCGATAAACCTCTTTCTGTGGTGTGTGTGGCCAGTTGTCTCTTCCCTTAAGTAGGTCATAAACCACTTTCTGTGGTGTGTGTGGCCAGTTGTCTCTTCCCTCAAGTAGGTCATAAACCACTTTGTTTGGTGTGTGTGGCCAGTTGTCTCTTCCCTTAAGTAGGTCATAAACCACTTTCTGTGGTGTGTGTGGCCAGTTGTCTCTTCCCTTAAGTAGGTCATAAACCACTTTCTGTGGTGTGTGTGGCCAGTTGTCTCTTCCCTTAAGTAGGTCATAAACAACTTTGTTTGGTGTGTGTGGCCAGTTGTCTCTTCCCTTAAGTAGGTCATAAACCTCTTTCATTGGTGTGTGTGGCCAGTTGTCTCTTCCCTTAAGTAGGTCATAAACCACTTTCTGTGGTGTGTGTGGCCAGTTGTCTCTTCCCTCAAGTAGGTCATAAACCACTTTGTTTGGTGTGTGTGGTCAGTTGTCTCTTCCCTTAAGTAGGCCATAAACCACTTTCTGTGGTGTGTGTGGCCAGTTTTCTCTTCCCTTAAGTAGGCGATAAACCTCTTTCTGTGGTGTGTGTGGCCAGTTGTCTCTTCCCTTAAGTAGGTTCTAAAGTTCTTTCTGTGGTATGTGTGGCCAGTTGTCTCTTCCCTTAAGTAGGCGATAAACCTCTTTCTGTGGTGTGTGTGGCCAGTTGTCTCTTCCCTTAAGTAGGTCATAAACCACTTTCTGTGGTGTGTGTGGCCAGTTGTCTCTTCCCTCAAGTAGGTCATAAACCACTTTGTTTGGTGTGTGTGGCCAGTTGTCTCTTCCCTTAAGTAGGTCATAAACCACTTTCTGTGGTGTGTGTGGCCAGTTGTCTCTTCCCTTAAGTAGGTCATAAACCACTTTCTGTGGTGTGTGTGGCCAGTTGTCTCTTCCCTTAAGTAGGTCATAAACAACTTTGTTTGGTGTGTGTGGCCAGTTGTCTCTTCCCTTAAGTAGGTCATAAACCTCTTTCATTGGTGTGTGTGGCCAGTTGTCTCTTCCCTTAAGTAGGTCATAAACCACTTTCTGTGGTGTGTGTGGCCAGTTGTCTCTTCCCTCAAGTAGGTCATAAACCACTTTGTTTGGTGTGTGTGGTCAGTTGTCTCTTCCCTTAAGTAGGCCATAAACCACTTTCTGTGGTGTGTGTGGCCAGTTGTCTCTTCCCTCAAGTAGGTCATAAACCACTTTCTGTGGTGTGTGTGGCCAGTTGTCTCTTCCCTCAAGTAGGTCATAAACCTCTTTCTTTGGTGTGTGTGGCCAGTTGTCTCTTCCCTTAAGTATGTCATAAACCTCTTTCTGTGGCGTGTGTGGTCAGTTGTCTCCGACTGTTATCCTCTTCCTTCGCTACGTACATTCCGAAGCCCCCTATTTCACATCAAGTAGAATCAGTCAGCACAAGACACTTTGAATGCCATTGGTGCAGTGGGCACATTGTGACAAACTAATAATTGACAGACTATTGGGCATTTGATGGCACCCTCGCCCAAACCGGACTGCAGATTACCCACGCCAGTCTGGCCGTTACCAGTTGCCACAACTATAACCTCCTTGTAAGGTGCTGTGTGGTCTCCGGGCATAGCGTCCGCCTCGGCTGCTGGATGTCCCGGGTTCAGGTCCCTGTGAAGGCGGGTAATTTTTCACGTGGACTTCTAGAATTTCTCCTGGTCTCTGGCTAGAGAGATCGGACGCCCGTGTGTATTGTTGCGCAAGTGAAAAATCCCTTGGCAGTTGTAAATCGAAAAGAGTAGCCTAACAGCGCTGCCCGGGCAAAATTTTTACTTAATAATCCACCCACAATATTGCAGGATCCTCGCCGGTGCAACGGAGCTCGTGCACTGCGCGGAGATTCTTCGGACTCAGGCTTGTCAGAAGTAGAGCGGAGTCTTGTGGGTTACCGCTTGTGCCCCGATGTTGATCCATTGCACAAACCTGAACCTATCCTTGAAAGTTAAACGGGGTATCAGGCTTGCCATGTTGATCCATTGCACAAACCGGAACCTATCCTTGAAAGTTAAATGGGGTATCAGGCTTGCCATGTTGATCCATTGCACAAACCTGAACCTATCCTTGAAAGTTAAATGGGGTATCAGGCTTGCCATGTTGATCCATTGCACAAACCTGAACCTATCCTTGAAAGTTAAATGGGGTATCAGGCTTGCCATGTTGATCCATTGCACAAACCTGAACCTATCCTTGAAAGTTAAATGGGGTATCAGGCTTGCCATGTTGGTCTAATATCAGCAGAAAGACTTATTTAGTCTTACAGTGTCAACCCATCAAGCGCTTTGGTCTGCAATCCAGACTGACATCTTCTGATCACAGTGTGTCAAACTCGTCAGGTGGCAGACAGGAGAGGACAAACTGCATTTACACGCAAGCACTTAAGACCGGTGTCCCCGATGTCACCTTAGCCGAATGTCCATAGATGGTCTTGTCCTGATATTAGAGAAGATCGAACAGGGACCCAGGATTTATAAACACCTCCAGTCTGGATCCTTCATCTTTTTCTTTTCGCATAGACTCTAAGCTCCGGCGAAAAGTCCTGGCTGTTCGTCCATTTGGGCTTTGCGCCAGGGGCCGAGTTTTAGTGTACTTCCATTTTACTGGCTTATGTGTGTGGGTTTGGTTGTTTCTTGTCGCCCTGGCCAATGTAAAATGTAGGAAACCCCCAATTAGTCGACTGCTACGACATGGTTGTCAAGGAAGCAGTCTGTCTATTCTCCCACAATGGGACACAGGAATCCAAAACGGGGAGATCTAGATAGAAACGTAACTTTGAAGCTGGCAAGCAAAATATCATTCATGCTCTAACAAGCAAACAATCCTTCATTCTTTAGCAAGCAAACAATCTTTCATGCTCTAGCAAGCAAACAATCCTTCATTCTCTAGCAAGCAAACAATCCTTCATGCTCTAGCAAGCAAACAATCATTCAAACTCTAGCAAGCAAACAATCCTTCATGCTCTAACAAGCAAACAATCTTTCATGCTCTAACAAGCAAACAATCCTTCATGCTCTAACAAGCAAACAATCTTTCAAACTCTAGCAAGCAAACAATCCTTCATGCTCTAACAAGCAAACAATCTTTCATGCTCTAACAAGCAAACAATCCTTCATGCTCTAACAAGCAAACAATCTTTCATGCTCTAGCAAGCAAACAATCCTTCATTCTCTAGCAAGCAAACAGTCCTTCATGCTCTAGCAAGCAAACAATCATTCAAACTCTAGCAAGCAAACAATCCTTCATGCTACAGCAAGCAAACAATCCTTCATGCTACAGCAAGCAAACAATCATTCATTCTCTAGCAAGCAAACAATCCTTCATGCTCTAGCAAGCAAACAATCATTCAAACTCTAGCAAGCAAACAATCCTTCATGCTCTGACAAGCAAACAATCCTTCATGCTCTGACAAGCAAATAATCCTTCATGCTCTAACAAGCAAACAATCCTTCATGCTCTAACAAGCAAACAATCCTTCATGCTACAGCAAGCAAACAATCCTTCATGCTCTAGCAAGCAAACAATCCTTCATGCTCTAACAAGCAAACAATCATTTATGCTCCAGCAAGCAAACAATCCTTCATGCTCTAACAAGCAAAAAATCCTTCATGCTCTAACAAGCAAACAATCCTTCATGCTCTAACAAGCAAACAATCCTTCATGCTCTAGCAAGCAAACAATCCTTCATGCTCTAGCAAGCAAACAATCCTTCATGCTCTGACAAGCAAACAATCCTTCATGCTACAGCAAGCAAACAATCCTTCATGCTACAGCAAGCAAACAATTCTTCACGCTCCAGCAAGCAAACAATCCTTCATGCTCTGACAAGCAAACAATCCTTCATGCTCTAACAAGCAAACAATCCTTCATGCTCTAACAAGCAAACAATCCTTCATGCTCTAACAAGCAAACAATCCTTCATGCTCTGACAAGCAAACAATCCTTCATGCTCTGACAAGCAAACAATCCTTCATGCTCTAGCAAGCAAACAATCCTTCATGCTCTAACAAGCAAACAATCCTTCATGCTTTAACAAGCAAACAATCCTTCATGCTCTAGCAAGCAAACAATCCTTCATGCTCTAACAAGCAAACAATCCTTCATGCTCTAGCAAGCAAACAATCCTTCATGCTCTAACAAGCAAACAATCCTTCATGCTACAGCAAGCAAACAATTCTTCATGCTCTGACAAGCAAACAGTCCTTCATGCTCTAACAAGCAAACAATCCTTCATGCTCTAACAAGCAAACAATTCTTCATGCTCTAACAAGCAAACAATCCTTCATGCTCTGACAAGCAAACAATCCCTTATGCTCTGACAAGCAAACACACTTACATCTACAAGCCAAACCAAATCTATGTCTCCCTAATTAGTCCAGTTGTAGAAACGTGTATCGCCTGACAACCGCATCTGATTGTTTTTGTTTAACAGCAAAGGCGGCAGCCGACCGTCTGAACAGGCTGTATCAAGTGGTTGCTGTGGGGATCGGTAGTGGTCTAGGCATAGAGCTGCAGAACATCGCCAGTGGTTACAGGAATGTCTTTACGGCTGACAGCTTCGCCAGTTTGGTTCGGATCGAGCAGCGAGTGGCCAGGCGACTGTGTGAAAGTAAGATCCGTCTGTCTGTCTGTACAACTGTTTGTCTGTCTGTCTGCCTGTACAACTGTCTGTATGTCTGTCTGTACAACTGTTTATCTGTCTGTCTGTACAACTGTTTATCTGTCTGTCTGTACAACTGTTTATCTGCCTATCTGTACAACTGTTTATCTGTCTGTCTGTACAACTGTTTATCTGTCTGTCTGTACAAATGTTTATCTGTCTGTCTGTACAACTGTTTATCCGTCTGTCTGTCTGTACAACTGTATGTCTGTCTGTCTGTCTGTACCACTGTTTATCCGTCTGTCTGTCTGTACAACTGTTTATCTGTCTGTCTGTACAACTGTTTATCCGTCTGTCTGTCTGTTCACCTGTTTATCTGTCTGTCTGTACATCTATTTATATATATGACGGTCTGTCTGTCTGTCTGTCTGTCTGTCTGTCTGTCTGTCTGTCTGTCTGTCTGTCTGTCTGTCTCTCTCTCTCTGTCTCTCTCTCTCTCTCTCTCTCTCTCTCTCTGTGTTTCTGTGCACAACTTTTTATCTATGTGTCCGTGTTTCTGTCTGTACAATTGTTTATCTGTCTGTCTGTTGATCTGTCTGTACAACAATTTACCTATATGACCGTCTTTCTGTCTGTCCTACTTTTTATCTATATATCTGTCTTTCTGTCTGTAACACTCTTTTTCTGTCTGTCTTTACAACTATTTATCTGTATGCATGTCTCTCTGTCAGTCCAACTATTTATCTGTATGTATGTCTCTCTGTCAGTCCAACTATTTATCTGTATGTATGTCTCACTGTCAGTTCAACTATTTATCTGTATGGCTGTCAATGTGGACCTGTTGTGTGATGTCATAGTGATGAATGAAGCAATATTTGTATCTAAAAACATTCACATGACAGTCCCATCATTGCTGATTAACAACAACTCCCACCACCTTCCTAACCTTTTATTCTGCACACACCCATACACACACACACACACAGACATAGCCCCGCCACCCACATACAAATAGCCACACTATCTCATACATACGCACATAAACCCTGACACCCACATACAAACACCCACACTCTCTCACACATACGCACACTTAACCCCTCTACCCCCCCCCTCCCCTACACACAAACACACACACAGACACACATACAAAAACGCACAATAATGTCATGTGCAAATATTGAACATATTCTTGTTTGTCTCCACTTTCAGTTCCGGAAGCTGATGGCAACAGTAAGTACCGTCACTTCACTCATTTGCCTGCAATTATAACATAATTACACGATAACTGGCCATCGATCACCCAAGACTGACCTCATAAATACGTGCTTAGTGGTCAAGCAAACACGGAAAGTCTTGGACGATGGTCATTCAATGGCTATCCCACTTGTCCGCAGGTCAACAATCATAGGTGCAACTTCTTATCAATGTGTATACATTTGTGGATTTATGTTTCTTTATTTTACTTGCACCAGACTGCGATCTGGCCGACGCTCTATACTCAAGAACAAAGCGAGACTGAGATACAAACAGACTGTTATTGGCACCATCGGAATGGGACCCCAACGTTTGCTGCTGAAGAGGGGGACGGAGCACTTTCGAGAATGTCCTGAGTAATATTATCTCGATTCTTAATGTAACAGTGAGGATGTGTAGCTTGCCGGGAGTTGCAGGTTGTCGTGTTGAGGCAGGCTGAATGGACTACCAGGAAATGTTACTGGAAGTAAAAGTTAAGGTGAGATGGTGGTCAGGTGACGCATCGATGACCGATCATGTTGGGGGTTCAGCTCTTTGACAGACCCATGTCTGCGGACACGTGACTTCTCTGAAAGTTGTTTGCTAACAACAGGCGACTAAAGACTCGTGATCTGGACTGGGTGTTTTCGGTGGGGGTGTTGCGAAGTATGTATTTTTTAGGGGGCGGGGGGGGGGGGGAAGACACTGTGTGACTGAGTGTGTGTGGGTGTATGAGTGTGTGTGTGGGTGGGGGGGGAGGGGTGAGTATATATTTGTAGGAGACTGTGTGTTAACAGACACGGGTGGACTCTTGTATGAAATAACACGATATTTTTTGCTGCTTGCCGTGTCATTTCCACCATCAATAACCATCGCACTCACCTCCAACAACTTCTTCTCTTTCACAGTTCCGGCCACTGGAGAGGGTAAGCACCATGTGTAGAGTTGTGTGTTCAGGAAAGAAAGAATGTTGATAGTGAAATGCAGATTACGAATTATTGAAATTTCAATTAACACTTTCAAGACGAGTCGTTATCAGATTCAAATATTTCTCTTCTAAACATCAGACGATTGAAACTCGTTCTACTTTAAACATCTAATTGTTTAAACTTGGTATTGTCTAAACATCTGACTGTTGAAACTTTGTCTTGTCTAAACATCTTAGTACTAGAACTGTTTCTGTTCAGAATATCTGACTATTAGATATTTTGCTGTACAAATCATCAGAGCAACATAACTGTTAAACAATAACATCAGACCAACAGAACTGTTTCTGCTGACAATATCTGACTGTTAGACATTTTGCTGTTCAAAACATCAGAGTAACGTAACTGTTTTTACAATAACATCAGACCAACAGAACTGTTTCTGTTCACAATATGTTCCTATTAGACATTTTGCTGTTCAAAACATCAGAGTAACATAACTGTTTATACAATAGCATCAGATCAACAGAAATGTTTCTGCTGACAATATCTGACTGTTAGACATTTTGCTGTTCAAAACATCAGAGTAACATAACTGTTTATACAATAGCATCAGACCAACAGAACTGTTTCTGTTCACAAAATCTGACTATTAGACATTTTGCTGTTCAAAACATCAGAGTAACATAACTGTTTATACAATAGCATCAGACCAACAGAACTGTTTCTGTTCACAAAATCGGACTGTTAGACATTTTGCTGTTCAAAACTTCAGAGTAACATAACTGTTTATACAATAAGATCAGACCAACAGAACTGTTTCTGTTCACAATATGTTCCTATTAGACATTTTGCTGTTCAAAACATCAGAGTAACATAACTGTTTATACAATAACATCAGACCAACAGAACTGTTTCTGCTTTAGCATAAGGCTAATAGAACAATATATGTTCTAACATCAGACTTATAGAGCCATTTCTGGCCTAACCTCAGACTGATAGAGCTTCAGTGTTAGAACTATTTGTTTCATGTACATCAGCGGTAGAATTATTTGTTTTAGGTACCTCAGTGTTAGAACAATTTGTTTCACACACCTTAGTGTTCAAACTATTTGTTTCAGGCACCTCAGTGCTTGAACTGTTTGTTTCAGGCACCTCAGTGCTAGAACTGCTTGTTTCAGGCACCTCAGTGCTAGAACTGTTTGTTTCAGGCACTTCGGCGTTAGAAATGTTTGTTTCAGGCACCTCAGTGCTACAATTGCTTGTTTCAGGCACCTCAGTGCTAGAACTGTTTGTTTCAGGCACCTCTATGTTAGAAATGTTTGTTTCAGACACCTCAGTGCTAGAACTGTTTGTTTCAGGCACCTCAGTGCTAGAACTGTTTGTTTCAGACACCTCAGTGCTAGAACTGTTTGTTTCAGACACCTCTGTGCTAGAAATGTTTGTTTCAGACACCTCTGTGCTAGAACTGCTTGTTTCAGACACCTCTGTGCTAGAAATGCTTGTTTCAGGCACCTCTGTGCTAGAACTGTTTGTTTCAGGCAACTAAGAGCTAGAACTGCTTGTTTCAGGCACCTCTGTGCTAGAACTATTTGTTTCAGGCACCTCAGTGCTAGAACTGTTTGTTTCATGCACCTTTGTGCTAGAACTGTTTGTTTCAAGTGCTAGAACTGCTTGTTTCAGGCAGCTCGGCGCAAGAAATATTTGTTTTGGAACGTTGTTTGTATGTAACAGTCACTATTGTAACATACAATTGTGTGTAGCAATCAATATTAAAACATAAGTTGCCAGGTAACAATCATTTTCAAACCCGTGATGACAATCAACATTGACTTTTTGAACCCGTGACGACAATCAACATTGACTTTTTGAACCCGTGACGACAATCAACATTGACTTTTTGAACCCGTGACGATAATCAACATTGACTTTTCAAACCCGTGACTACAATCAACATTGACTTTTTGAACATTCATTTTCTGTTCTCTAGGAAGTGGCACTTGCGCTACAGGTTTCCAGAAAAGCCCAACTAACAAAGCCTCTTGTGTGGGTAAGTTTTCCATTCATGATCAGCCAGTCTATCAAGACATGTTTTTAATCACTCCAACTTTATATCTCAGTACTTCACGTCTGGGGCTTGTTTCACACCGCCCGGTTGGTAGCTACTGCAGCATCAGACAGCAGATGCCTGGGTTAGGCTTCCCAGGACAACAAAGGGTAGGACAAGTTGCAGAGATATTTGTCCATGATGCTTCCACTGACCCGTCGACTATTCTTATAAACATTGAAACGATGATCTTCGCGTCACGCTAATTATTTATGTACGTATTTAATGAGCATCTGCATGTCGTTAATTATTTCTAAAGGTATTTAAAAGAGGCTTGTTGTGTCTGCTTGGGTTATTTCTAGACGTATTTAACTGATATTCCTGTGTCTCATTGATTATTTCTATGCGTATCTAACAGAAATTTCTGTGTCTTGATTATTTCTATTCGCTTTTAACCTAGTATCTAAGTCTGGTTGTTTATTTCTGTAATATTTAACTAGAGATTTGTGTATAGTTTCTTATTTCTCTACGTATATAACGCAGACTCTGTGCATAGTTTGTGCTGAGGCGTTGCGAGTCCGGCTCGTATTTCCAACGTAACGCGATCGAAACGCACTGCTGAATTTTTATTATGGTATGGGGTGTCGCAGGTCGACCCAGCCTAAAATGGGTACCAGGATGGTGGTCCTGGGTAAGTAAAGACGGCCTGCTTAATGCTGATCAATGAATTCCAGAGAAATTTGACTAAAAAGCTCAGCAAAATGGGAAAGAGGAAAACGTGCACAAAACATTTATTCCGCATCACATTTTTTAAACGTCGCTCACGTCACCGCTTAGAGATCTACATACTCTCCATTCCTCGTTTGTGTAGTCCACATGTGTTTGAAATAGGCTGCTTGGCCGAAACGTTACGGTTTGTTGTTTTGTGCACGTTTTCCTCTTTCCCATTTTGTTGAGCTTTTTAGTCAAATTTCTCTGGAATTCATTGTATTAGCTTGACTGCAGTCACCCCCATAGTTTCACCATTTAATGCTGACCAGATTACCTACCTAGTGCTGATTGGTCTGTACAATATAAGTGCTCTTTCGATATGCCCGATGCGCCTTAAGCCGTGAATAGGGATCTTTACTTTCTCTTGTTACTGTGCATAGTTTGTTATTTCTATCCGTATGTAATAACGTATGTGTCGCTGCGAGGACCAGCAGGACCAGCGTCCTACATTGATCTATATTTTCAGACTCTGTGCATCAGACTGCTCTAGAATTCTGGAGTCTTTAGACCAGACAGTTCTACAGTTCTCTAAGTGTGTCGCATCAGACTGTTCTAGAATTCTGGAGTCTTTAGACCAGATAGTCCTACAATTCTCTAAGTGTGTCGCATCAGACTGCTCTAGAATTCTGGAGTCATGAGACCAGACAGTTCTACAGTTCTCTAAGTGTGTCACATCAGACTGTTCTAGAATTCTGGAGTCTTTAGACCAGATAGTCCTACAATTATCTAAGTGTGTCGCATCAGACTGCTCTAGAATTCTTGAGTCTTTAGACCAGATAGTCCTACAATTCTCTAAGTGTGTCGCATCAGACTGTTCTAGAATTCTGGAGTCTTTAGACCAGATAGTCCTACAATTATCTAAGTGTGTCGCATCAGACTGCTCTAGAATTCTGGAGTCTTTAGACCAGATAGTCCTACAATTCTCTAAGTGTGTCGCATCAGACTGCTCTAGAATTCTGGTGTCTTTAGACCAGATAGTCCTACAATTCTCTAAGTGTGTCGCATCAGACTGCTCTAGAATTTTGGAGTCTTTAGACCAGATAGTGCTACAATTCTCTAAGTGTGTCTCATCAGACTGCTCTAGAATTCTGGAGTCTTTAGACCAGATAGTCCTACAATTCTCTAATTGTGTCGCACCAGACTGCTCTAGAATTCTGGAGTCTTTAGACCAGATAGTCCTACAATTCTCTAATTGTGTCGCACCAGACTGCTCTAGAATTCTGGAGTCTTTAGATCAGACAGTGCCACAGTTATCTAAGTGTGTCGCATCAGACTGCTCTAGAATTCTGCAGTCTCTAGATCAGACAGTGCCACAGTTATCTAAGTGTGTCGCACCAGACTGCTCTAGAATTCTGGAGTCTTTAGACCAGATAGTCCTACAATTCTCTAAGTGTGTCGCACCAGACTGCTCTAGAATTCTGGAGTCTTTAGACCAGATAGTCCTACAATTCTCTAATTGTGTCGCACCAGACTGCTCTAGAATTCTGGAGTCTTTAGATCAGACAGTGCCACAGTTATCTAAGTGTGTCGCATCAGACTGCTCTAGAATTCTGCAGTCTCTAGATCAGACAGTGCCACAGTTATCTAAGTGTGTCGCACCAGACTGCTCTAGAATTCTGGAGTCTTTAGACCAGATAGTCCTACAATTCTCTAAGTGTGTCGCATCAGACTGCTCTAGAATTCTGGAGTCTTTAGACCAGATAGTCCTACAATTCTCTAATTGTGTCGCACCAGACTGCTCTAGAATTCTGGAGTCTTTAGACCAGATAGTCCTACAATTCTTTTAGTGTGTGGCATCAGACTGCTCTAGAATTCTGGAGTCTTTAGACCAGATAGTCCTACAATTCTTTTAGTGTGTGGCATCAGACTGCTCTAGAATTCTGCAGTCTTTAGACCAGATAGTTCTACAATTCTCTAAGTGTGTCGCATCAGACTGCTCTAGAATTCTGGAGTCTCTAGACCAGATAGTTCTACAGTTCTCTAAGTGTGTCGCATCAGACTGTTCTAGAATTCTGCAGTCTCTAGATCAGACAGTGCCAAATTATCTAAGTGTGTCGCATCAGACTGCTCTAGAATTCTGGAGTCTCTAGACCAGATAGTTCTACAGTTCTCTAAGTGTGTCACATCAGACTGTTCTAGAATTCTGCAGTCTCTAGATCAGACAGTGCCACAGTTATCTAAGTATGTCGCATCAGACTGCTCTAGAATTCTGCAGTCTCTAGATCAGACAGTGCTACAGTTCTCTAAGTGTGTCCATATAAAGTTTCTTATAATTGGAGTTCTCTGCTCGAGTCTTCAACACCTGTCTGTTGGTGATATTGTTGTGTGTTAACCAGAATCAAAATCCCCGCCGTCGCTGTATGTTATTAGTTTCTTGAGTTATCCAGGTAGCAAGCATGCACGCACACATCCACCTGCACAATACACTCACACACACATACACACACATACACTCAGGCTCTCTCTCGCTCTCTCTATCTCTCGCACACGAAGTAAACTATTTACTGTCTGTCTGTACATTTCCATTGTTGCAGAGGCTAGGGTTATATCTTGTTGTGAAGAGGCATGGGAGTAAAAGTCATCCTATTATTGTACACAAGCCTAGCATGTGTTGCCCATACATCAGTGTCCATATCTTGGCTTGTCTCGTGTGTTGTAGAGACCATGTGTTGCCCTTACAGCAGTGTCCAACTCTTGGCCTGTCTTGTGTATCGTAGAGACCATGTGTTGACCATATAGCAGTGTCCGTCTCTTGGCCTGTCTTGCGTATCGTAGAGACCATGTGTTGCCCTTACAGCAATGTCCATCTCTTGACCTATCTCATGTTTTGTAGAGACCCTGCGTTGCCCTTACAGCATTGTCCAACTCTTGACCTATCTCATGTTTTGTAGAGACCCTGCGTTGCCCTTACAGCAATGTCCATCTCTTGACCTATCTCATGTTTTGTAGAGACCCTGCGTTGCCCTTACAGCAATGTCCATCTCTTGGCCTATCTTGTGTATCGCAGAGACCATGTGTTGCCCATATAGCAGTGTCAATCTGTTGGCCTATCTTGTGTATCGCAGAGACCATGTGTTGCCCTTACAGCAGTGTCCATCTCTTGGCCTGTCTTGTGTATCGCAGAGACCATGTGTTGCCCATATAGCAGTGTCCATCACTTGGCCTGTCTTGTGTATCGCAGAGACCATGTGTTGCCCATATAGCAGTGTCCATCACTTGGCCTGTCTTGTGTATCGCAGAGACCATGTGTTGCCCATATAGCAGTGTCCATCACTTAGCCTGTCTTGTGTATCGCAGAGACCATGTGTTGCTCATATAGCAGTGTCAATCTGTTGGCCTATCTCATGTTTTGTAGAGACCCTGTGTTGCCCATTCAGCAGTGTCCATCTCTTGGCCTGTCTGGATTACTCCAAAGGAAAGACGGGAACAACAAACATGTCTGGAGCAAACCATCCATCAGACACCCCTGGTAGCTAATAAAGCTCACAGAAAGATATGTTATTAATTGTTTTTACATCTAACGGTATCAATATCTCCAGCCAATTGTATTTCGTGCACTGCAAAAACAGCCAGTCATATTCTAATGCACACAATTTCCGGTGATTACAGCTGACTGTCATTTTGTATTTGATTTGCAGACATCAACGAATGTAAAACTAAACACTCCTGTCAGGGGACTTGTGTCAACACTATCGGGAGCTACAGGTGTACCTGCAAGGCTGGGTTCGTCATTGACCCCAAGGATACTGGCAAATGTTCAAGTAAGATCCTGAACGTGTGGATCTGTAGGGATATCGTTGTCACGGATTGGTAGCATTGTCAGTGTTGACGAACATAAAGCACCATTATCATTATCATTATCGTCATGTTCCTCTGTGTGTCGTTAGACGTCACACAGTGCTCACATTCGATTCCTACACCCTCGCTCTGCTGCATGCAACTCTCGATGTCTGACACGGAGTTCAGCCCCAGTTTAAACAAAAAATATTCCTCTTAATGTTTCCCTTGGAGGTTGTCTTTTTCTCAGGCCGTTTGTTTCCTATTTCAGTGCTTGGTTTGCATTTCTTTGCTTGTTCTCAGAGTGTGGCCAAAATATAGCACTATCGTTGTCATATATAGACATGCATAGCATGCATGTAGATCTTCTAGTCCTGTTATTTCCACATTTATGAATATGTAGACATGAAGCACGTTCACTGTCACATTTAGAACTTCTGGTCCCGTTATTTCCACATTAACGATTATGTAGACATGAAGCAGGTTTACTGTCACACTTAGAACTTCTGGTCCCGTTATTTCCACATTAACGATTATGTAGACATAAAGCATGTTTACTGTCACATTTAGAACTTCTGGTCCGTTATTGCCACATTAACGAGTGCGTAGACATGAAAAAGGTTTACTGTCACATTTAGACCTTCTGGTCCGTTATTGCCACATTAACGAGTCTGTAGACATGAAGCATGTTCACTGTCACATTTAGAACTTCTGGTCCCGTTATTGCCACATTAACGAGTGCGTAGACATGAAGCAGGTTTACTGTCACATTTAGAACTTCTGGTCCCGTTATTGCCACATTAACGAGTACGTAGACATGACGCACGATCACTGTCACATGTAAGGATGCTATCAGCGGTAAATTATATCTGTAGCATTATTCATGTTTCAGTTATGTAATGTTTGGAAGCATCGCATCATGTCAAGGGGCCAAGGTTTCCGATCGAGTCTTAGGGAGAGAGCGACCGACGGAGAGGTCAGTGGTAGTGAATGGTAACGAATGACTACAGACATTCACGATATGATGACGTGACCGGATTGGTCGGCTACAGGATGGCATACTGATCACGTGACTGCTGCTGATAGGGACCCAGACTTTTCTGGCGAATCTTAGACAAGCCAACCACGCTTATCGGCAGACATCATAGAGACGTTATCAACAAGAATCACCAATATCTCATACTATCTAGATTGAAACCGAATAAGCACCAAAAAAAAAATGTTATGCATCTTGGCTGAAGTTCGAAACGTTCTGGTCTGATTCGAGAGGGAGAGAACAGTAAAAGAAGACATCGGTGCCTTTGCCTCGACTACACGTAGTCTGACCACGGAAGTTATGGCGGTAGCAAAGGCAGTCATGTGGCCAGAGACACAACATTTTCCCCATGCGTGCTTTCTGAGAAATTCCGTGAGCCTGCTTGAGACGGTGGAGACAAGATGGAAAGAAAGAAAATGTGCGGACTCGCTGAGGAAATCGCTTCTGACAGAAATCAGTTTGATTGTTAGGGTAAGGGGAGTGACTGGCTTGCTGGCAGGGCCACGGTAGGTACAGGACAAGCAATGGACCCCGCCGATACTCTCAATGCTCCCAGGGAGGTAGGATCAATAAATGCCTGAGGAGACGACGCTGAGTCGACAACATTCAAAAGACTACAAGAACAAGAACTCTATTGCCAGACATGAAAACTGTAAAGGTAGCCAAAGAAGATTAGTAAACCGACACAGAAAGAATAGTATATCAACACTGAGCTGGCGTTATCAGTCGCTACACGCTGGGGGACGCAGTCGCTACACGCTGGGGGACGCAGTCGCTACACGCTGGGGGACGCAGTCGCTACACGCTGGGGACATACTGAAGATGGGATCTGGACGTTTATGGACTTGTTTAATGTGCAGTGACGATAACATGTCTATTAACTAACTAACTAACTAACTAACTAACTAACTAACTAACTACCTACCTACCCAACCAACCAACAAACCACCCACCCACCCACCCACCCACTCAACCAACCAACCAACTTACTAACTTACTAACTAACTAACTAACTAACCAACTTACAACGTTCATCTTCTAAGAAACTTTCGTCTTGTCCAATGAACTGACGCTATGGCAATGTTTTGCTGACACCGTCTGTCTCGTCTGCCAGGTTTGAGGTCATGCACGTCTCAAGTAGACGTCGTCTTTGTCATCGACGCTTCTGGAAGTATCGGCTCAGAGAACTTCAAGACTCAGCAGACATTTTTGGCCAAGCTGACCCACCACTTCATTGTGGGCCCCAAGGGAACCCTGTTTGGCGGTTTGCTGTTTTCAACTAATGTCACTAAACTGTTTGACCTGAACAAGTACACGTCCCGAACCGACATCACAACCGTGAGTAGAATAGCTCTCTTACATCTTCACGGAGAGTTTGATTTCAGCATTTAGGTATTTGTAATGCGTATCACGTTGAATACAATCCCATATGCAGGTTTAAGGTCCGTGTAAGTTGTGTACATTTGGCATGCAGCCTGTTAATACTTATGTCCTTGTAAGACAATTCCCTCAAATGAAAACAAACATAGAGTTTTGATTTGGTCTTATACGCTGTAAGTGAAAAACAGACACGGATTCAAAGCAAACAACCATCAGTCTTACGGTTAACTGAGTAACAGGAAATTTCCAAAAACATCGACTTGTACACGCTTCTACAGGTGTTTCCCTCCCAAGCCATCACCAGCTTAGCCTCCCTCTCTCTGTATGCGGGATAGGCTATCAAAATAATCACCACGCATCGATGCATATCTCAGCTGATTTTCAATCTCCAAGTATGTGTCAATTACTGTCTATTCCTTTTGTTTTAGGGGTACACAAGTTAAAAGTCAAATAAGGATAAGAATTATTCGCCGCTTTAAGAAAACAGCGACGTCTGTGCAATTGTAAAATATAAAATAATAAGGAAATGGGAAATCTAAGACAACGTACACAAATTCGTGTTGATCGTACAGTAGTGTTACATATTTTTATTAACGTGAAGGCATAACTGTTGAAGTGTATATTTCATGTTATCTTGATCACAATGCCTAGGTATACAGCGGCTGAAATAATGTGTATTTATATACAACAGCAAATACAAACTATAATTGAAAAGCTAACTATAGAGCGGCTGACGCAAAAGTAGGATCTGATTTGATGAAAAGAATATTTCATGCAAGCCACCTTTGTCAACAGAATCGAAGGAAAGGAAAGAGCAATATATAATTATTCTTGTTGTACTGGAGTGAATTGTGGACAGTCATATCCTGGCAACAGGTGGAGACATTATAACACAGTCTAACACAGTACTGGCAACAGGTGGAGACATTCTAACACAGTACTGGCAACAGGTGGAGACATTCTAACACAGTACTGGCAACAGGTGGAGACAATCTAACACATTACTGGCAACAGGTCGAGACATTCTAACACAGTACTGGCAACAGGTCGAGACATTCTAACACAGTACTGGTAAAAGGTAGAGACAATCTAACACAGTACTGGTAAAAGGTAGAGACAATCTAACACAGTACTAGTAAAAGGTAGAGACAATCTAACACATCTAACACAGTACTGAGACAATCTAACACAGTAACAGGTGGAGACAATCTAACACACAGTACTGACATTCTAACACAAACTGGCCACAGGTGGAGACAATCTAACACAGTACTGGCAACAGGTGAGAGATTCTAACACAGTACTCTAACACAGTAGGTGGCAACAGGTGGAGAGACAATCTAACACAGTAACACAGTACTGGCAACAGGTGGCACACAGGTGCAACAGGTGGAGACAATCTAACACAGTACTGGCAACAGGTGGAGACAATCTAACACAGTACTGGCAACAGGTGGAGACATTCTAACACAGTACTGGCAACAGGTGGAGACATTCTAACACAGTACTGGCAACAGGTGGAGACATTCTAACACAGTACTGGCAACAGGTGGAGACATTCTAACACAGGTGGAGACAATCTAACACAGTACTGGCAACAGGTGGAGACAATCTAAACACAGTACAGGTGGCAACAGTACTGGCAACAGGTGGAGACATTCTAACACAGTACTGGCAACAGGTGGAGACATTCTAACACAGTACTGGCAACAGGTGGAGACAATCTAACACAGTACTGGCAACAGGTGGAGACATTCTAACACAGTACTGGCAACAGGTGGAGACAATCTAACACAGTACTGGCAACAGGTGGAGACAATTCTAACACAGTACTGGCAACAGGTGGAGACAATCTAACACAGTACTGGCAACAGGTGGAGACAATTCTAACACAGTACTGGCAACAGGTGGAGACAATCTAACACAGTACTGGCAACAGGTGGAGACATTCTAACACAGTACTGGCAACAGGTGGAGACATTCTAACACAGTACTGGCAACAGGTGGAGACAATCTAACACAGTACTGGCAACAGGTGGAGACAGTACTGGCAACAGGTGGAGACATTCTAACACAGTACTGGCAACAGGTGGAGACAATCTAACACAGTACTGGCAACAGGTGGAGACAATCTAACACAGTACTGGCAACAGGTGGAGACAATCTAACACAGTACTGGCAACAGGTGGAGACATTCTAACACAGTACTGGCAACAGGTGGAGACAATTCTAACACAGTACTGGCAACAGGTGGAGGACTGGCAACAGGTGGAGACAATCTAACAACACATTCTAACACAGTACTGGCAACAGGTGGAGACAATCTAACACAGTACTGGCAACAGGTGGAGACAATCTAACACAGTGCTGGCAACAGGTGGAGAGACACATCTAACAGGTGGAGACAATTCTACTGGCAACAGGTGGAGACATTCTAACACAGTACTACTCTAACAGTACTGGCAACAGGTGGAGACAATCTAACACAGTACTGGCAACAGGTGGAGACAATCTAACACAGTACTGGCAACAGGTGGAGACAATCTAACACAGTACCGGCAACAGGTGGAGACAATTCTAACACAGTACTGGCAACAGGTGGAGACAATCTAACACAGTACTGGCAACAGGTGGAGACAATCTAACACAGTACTGGCAACAGGTGGAAACAATCTAACACAGTACTGGCAACAGGTGGAGACAATCTAACACAGTACTGGCAACAGGTGGCTAACAGGTGGAGACAATCTAACACAGTACTGGCAACAGGTGGAGACATTCTAACACAGTACTGGCAACAGGTGGAGACAATCTAACACAGTACTGGCAACAGGTGGAGACAATCTAACACAGTACTGGCAACAGGTGGAGACAATCTAACACAGTACTGGCAACAGGTGGAGACAATCTAACACAGTACTGGCAACAGGTGGAGACAAATCTAACACAGTACTGGCAACAGGTGGAGACAATCTAACACGTTACCGGCAACAGGTGGAGACAATCTAACACAGTACTGGCAACAGGTGGAGACAATCTAACACGTTACTGGCAACAGGTGGAGACAATCTAAAACACAGTACTGGCACAGGTGGAGGTGGAGACAATCTAACACAGTACTGGCAACAGGTGGAGACAATCTAACACAGTACTGGCAACAGGTGGAGACAAGTCTGGCAACAGGTGGAGACAATCTAACACAGTACTGGCAACAGGTGGAGACAATCTAACACAGTACTGGCAACAGGTGGAGACAATCTAACACAGTACTGGCAACAGGTGGAGACAATCTAACACAGTACTGGCAACAGGTGGAGACAATCTAACACAGTACTGGCAACAGGTGGAGACAATCTAACACAGTACTGGCACCAGGTCGAGACATTCTAACACAGTACTGGCAACAGGTGGAGACAATCTCTACTGGCAACAGGTGGAGACAGTACTGGCAACAGGTGGAGACAATTCTAACACAGTACTGGCAACAGGTGGAGACAATCTAACACAGTACTGGCAACAGGTGGAGACATTCTAACACAGTACTGGCAACAGGTGGAGACATTCTAACACAGTACTGGCAACAGGTGGAGACAATCTAACACAGTACTGGCAACAGGTGGAGACAATCTAGACAATCTAACACAGTACTGGCAACAGGTGGAGACAATCTAACACAGTACTGGCAACAGGTGGAGACAATCTAACACAGTACTGGCAACAGGTGGAGACATTCTAACACAGTACTGGCAACAGGTGGAGACAATCTAACACAGTACTGGCAACAGGTGGGAGACAGGTCTCTAACACAGTACTGGCACAGGTGGAGGATCTAACACACAATCTAACACAGTACTGGCAACAGGTGGAGACAATCTAACACAGGCTGGCAACTGGTGGAGACAATCTGACGCATAACTGGCAACTGGTGGAGACAATCTGACGCATAACTGGCAACAGGTGGAGACAATCTAACACAGT